CCATATCCCTGCACGCAGGGTAGTTCACTGACGACCTTTCAGTGTATGGGCAGTGACACCCATATATACAAAACCTCTTTATGAGGGGACCCTGGAATTGCCGCTGCAGGGCGGTGAGTCACCACTTCACGCGCCACGTGCCCCAATATATAGGGAAGAAAAGACTAAAGGATTCCACCCAAGGCCATAACCACCAAAGTTGTGACAAATTGCTACGGGGAAGACAAAACCTGCCAATGCAGGAAAATTTATTCCCGGTCCTTCAATAGCAACCAAAGACTGTATCAGCGCCCGTTAAACAGGAAGAAAAAGTTAACCTGCAAACAAGAAACATTAAATAAAGGGAGGGTAGGGAGGGTGAATCTCCAGAGCCAACTGCCTGGCTATTGTCAGCTCCACCCCCTATTTATAAATGGGGCTGGCCCCACCTCCCAGCAAGAAACTTGATTACTGAGGCTGGGCGTGAACCTCCAAAAATTAACACTGAGAGGCAAGCCAGCCCCTGTTTGCCAGTAAGCTCCCTTACTGGTGCTAAAATTCTTAATGGTAAATTGAGCTAACATTCATTTTTCCCTCTCTATGTTTAATTGCTTCAGCTTACCTCTTCTTCATCTTCTTCTTTTTAAATAAATTCTTTGGAGACAAATTGTGTCACTATGGTACAGCACCGCATTCAAGCTAGCTCTATAAAAACAGCCTCCAAAGTACCATTTTTGTCTGAGACAAGATGATTTTTCTCCTGTCAGTCACAGACCTTGAGAGGAGCTGTAAAAATAACCACAGTGGCTTTTAGCCAATAGACTTCTTTGACAGCATCACAAAAATGCTTCCAGCTCAGTAGTTTCATATCTACTGATACAAACACTTGTGCTGGCCCAAATGCTGAAATCTGGATTAGTGGTCCTCTATCATTTGGCCTCACAGAATTGTTTGGTGTCTGACAGAGCCTGACTAGAGTGAGACGTGAGGGAAGGAAGGAAGGAATATCTCTAAATGTATGTGATACATTAAGAAGTGTTGGTTTTTCTTCCAGGATTAGAAGTGAAACTGTGGAGCTGGACTCTCCTTGCCTCCTTGTACAGAGAGAAATATCCTTATGGGGCCTCAAGAGTGCAGGGCCCCCTTACTACATCCCTGGGAGGAATGGGCAACAGTCATGGGAATGGCACTAACAATCAGGGGTTTTCCAGACAACCTGCTCATTAAGCATTGCTCCTGATTGGCTGGCACAGAACTGACAAGATGGTTAGATCATGCACAGCCTTTATTTAGCATTCATTTTTAGTTTTTTATGGGGTGGCTATATGACAATGAATATTCATCCTGCATCCAACCAGATTTGCTTGCAGGCTGTTTACACATCTCAGCATTAATCATTCATTAATATCACATTTTTTCAATCTATTCCCCCGTCACTTAACAAATCACAAAAAGTCTGTTGTTTTTTGAGTGGATTCATTGTGCTAGGGCTACAGTGCTTTAAGCCACTTTAAACATACAGACTTAATGCATGCAACTCTCAGTGGCCTTTGCTACCCCCACCAATTCACCTAGCAGCCAAGATAAGGTGGGTTGTCAGAGAGAGAATCTATGCCAGAATGGCATACCATAGGGCTCTAGGTGAATGGTGGAGTCAAACACCCAAAGTTATTACACTAGGGTTTCTAGGAAAATCTTTATATGACAGCATCAAAATTATATTACTTATCACTGCTTATACGTACAGTGGTGCCTCGCAAGACGAAATTAATTCGTTCCGCGAGTTTTGTCGTCTTGCGATTTTTTTCGTCTTGCGAAGCATGGTGTCGGGAAAGTTTTGGAAAAGCTTCAAAAATCACCAAAGTCTTTAAAAACCTCAAAAAAGGCTACCACACCGCGTTCTATGAGTTGCTCCTCGAAGTCAAGTCGCAACTGTATTAACGGTGTTAAGAAAAAGGAAACAAACTTGCAAGACGTTTCCGTCTTGCGAAGCAAGCCCATAGGGAAAATCGTCTTGCGAAGCAGCTCAAAAAACAAAAAACCCTTTTGTCTAGCAAGTTTTTTGTCTTGCGAGGCATTCGTCTTGCGAGGTACCACTGTAGATTAGAATACATGACATAATACACTGTATTGTGTACCACTGTAGATTAGAATACATAAAGTTAGCCATCAAATACCAAAAATAAACTGTTGGGTGTACTGGTAGCTGGATGGATTGGTGTCATGCATAACAACACTTCTACCAGCTGGAGATACTTGCCTGAGTGCTACCAGTATCCTCATGTCCTGATACTGTCATCAATATAACAAAGAGAGAAAAAGAATTATCCAGCAGTTCCTTTCAAGGGTTGCATTTACAATGCTTATCCCATAAGCATTAGTGGTATTATGCAGACTTAAGTGATATTTCCCAACTAAAACTGATTGGCTAATCATATTGGATGGGATGCCACTGTCCTGCCTTTCCACTGCAACTCTTCGGATGCTCACACACATAAAAACACACACACACAGCTGTTCTTGAAGTTCAGGCGACTCTCTAAAGCAGAATTTAACATGGCATGAAGGCTGCCAGGAAACGCAGTTAGCAAAATCTGAAATAGTTCTGGGTTGACATTTTTCAATTGGCACAGAGAAGAGTGTTAATGCAGGAAACAACCCACCCACGTATATTCAAATACTTGAAATGTAAATAGCTATCTTAGTAAAAATAGCTTCCTACTTCCAAAATTACATTTTCTATTTATGGTCAATGAAAATTATTGTACCATGCAATTATGAGTTAGTGTGGGTGCGTAACTCCTATGCTCATTTCCCCTAATAGCTTAACATTTCAATATTCTAGGGGAAAGAAATTGTGTGAGTACTTTCATGATAGTCACTGCCTACTAAACTGGAATAAAAATTCTGTAAATTTCCTAAAATCTTTATGACGTTCCAAGTGAACCTTGCAAATATGATTTTAATGGACAAAGCTCAGCAACCTAATCCTTAGATATCTGTTCCATCCTCTGTGAGCCAAGCTAAAGAGTATCTTAAATATGTCTTTGCATTTGTGTGTATGTGGTTTTTGAAGGAAAAGCAGCTAGGGGGTGGGGCTACAATCTGGATTGTTTCTCCTGGTCCCATTGTCATGATGAAAATACCCCTTCAGAGCGACTATTTGCCCCAGCCACTTTTGGTGTCAGTTGGTGGAGAATCTTAGTCAGGACCACAGTGCAGAGGAATTAAACACCCCTCCATCTACTCAATGTTCCTAATCTAGATCAGGTTCCCAAACCAATTTCATTTTAAACACAAATATGGGTGTACAAGGAGACATTTAATGATGCCACTTACAGATGCAAAATAGAAAAGTTATATAGCCAGAATGCTCTATAAACATTTTGTAAAGTTATAATAGTACTCGTTTGATGGTAATTCAATCACTCATATTTACAGATACAACACTATAGCAGTATCCTTACACTAGAGGAAGCTACGACAAATGGTACACTGTTAGCAAAAGGGTGTGGAGTGGGGTATATCACAGAAGCCTATGATCTCCCAGGACTCATTTTTTCCCCTTTGAGATGGTGTTATGTTGTGGTTACAGAAGACATAGCGTAAAACATTCCAAATAAAGTCAGTGGACAGCCCTAGAACATAGATTTTCCACTTCTTAGCCCTCCAGTCCCACAGCCAGTCATAGATAAAAAGCCCTACCAAGATAACACAGATAAACAGAGTCAGCCCTACCATTAGGCAGGGAGGCAGTTGCCTCAGAATGCAGATGCTGTAGTAGGGATAAGAAGTGATGGAGAGGTGTTGGAGAACAAAGCCTACCATCCAGTGCACCTCCTAAAAAAGCCCGCTATCCATAGGTGCAGTGCATGGCATCATCCTCTTGGCAGCATCAAAGCAAAATTCAACTGTCAATCTAGTTTGCTTCTGTATGTGGAATAAGGGGAGGGCATCTGCTTGCCCTTTGCCTCAGGCAACCAAATGTCTTTAGCTGCCCCTTCAAATAAAATATATCAAGATGTGCAACCTGAAGTTTCATCCTTATGTCTTTAGAACTATAGGCACACAAAGGAGAACTTTGGCAAGAAATAACTTTGCACAAACTGAACACTATGCACAGAAACTGAACATCCACCGGGGGGGGGGGGGAGGCAGCACAGTGTTCCAATAGCTTAGTATTCCCATTGCAGTTTCCCAAACTTGTAATTTTGATTTATAAGCAGGATTGTACTTCTAGTACCTTAAGCTTTTGTATTGTTGTTGTTGCCATCAGTTTAGAGTTGGGAATGCCACTTATAACTCATTATTATTTGGCAAAAAACATGTTGTTTATCTAACAAGTAAATACAGTGGTACTTCAGGTTAAGTACTTAATTCGTTCCGGAGGTCCGTTCTTAACCTGAAACTGTTCTTAACCTGAAGCACCACTTTAGCTAATGGGGCCTCCTGCTGCCGCCGCACCGCCGGAGCACGATTTCTGTTCTCATCCTGAAGCAAAGTACTTAACCTGAAGCACTATTTCTGGGTTAGCGGAGTCTGTAACCTGAAGCGTATGTAACCTGAGGTACCACTGTAATATGTAACATTACAACAGGCCACCATCAAAATGCCATATTGTCTTCCTCCCTCCCATCTGAATTCACAATTTATAATGCTAGCCAGGAAACCTACAATGGTCATACCAATTGCATTTTTTTCTGCATATTATTTGCAGCTGGATCTCTTACTTCCAACACAGAAGGTTTGAGAGCAGGGAAGGGAGGAGTTCCTTCAAAATTATGGAATTCGTGGCCTTATCTCACACTATAGGTCTACATTCTGGATCGTATGCAATGCTGCAGTTTCACTCATGCAACAGATTTTTGCTTTTCCCACAGAACCTCCTCCTCTTCTCTTTCCTGTAGCCACCCCTGAGGGATGTTAGCATCCAAAACGCGTATTGAAAGAGCTGTAGAACTCTAGAATGTCATATACTCTGTGGCAGTTATTTCAGTTGGGACAGTTATGGCAGTTAGTAGGACAGTTTTAACAAAGCAGCAGGTATGTTGTGTTGTGCTGCTGCCTCAGTGTCAGTCAGTCTGTAAATGTTAGTCAGCCTTCGATACAAATCTATGTAAGATGTTTTAGCAACTTAAGAAACATCCACCTGCATTGTATATTTTAATCTGCAAGTACAAATACACTAAGTAAAAGTTATGTGTTACTTAAACTTTAACAGAGAGTGTCTTGTGTAGGTTTTTTTTGGGGGGGGGACTAATTAAAGGCTGATTCCACATACAGTCATACCTCAGAAGTCAAACGGAATCCATTCTGGAAGTCCATTCAACTTCCAAAACATTTGGAAACCAAGGTGCAACTTCTGATTAGCTGCAGGAAGCTCCTGCAGCCAATTGGAAGCCACAGAAGCTGCGTTGGACGTTTGGGTTCCAAAGAACGTTTGCAAACCGGAACACTCACTTCTGGGTTTGTGGCATTCAGGAGCCAAAAATGTTCAACTCTCAAGGCTTTCAGGATCCAAGGTACAACTGTACTCTGCAAATGGGAACGAGGGTCTAATTCCCACACACACATGCACCCTCAAAATCTGGTTCAGAAGGCTGGGGGACTCTCTGAAACATTGTTGGGGGGGTTGGTGTGAGTGCTGGAAGAGGAGATGATGGGGAGGTTCTGTTGTGCAACCAGAGCAGCCCTTCCAAGGGGAGTTCTGCTGTGTAAGTTGAACACAGCTCATGCAGCAATGGATGCAACCCTCTATTTCTACAAATAGTCTGCAACATTTTGTTGGAGGTTCTGTCTCCTCCCATCCTTCCACAGGTGCTACTGTTCAGGGTTTCTGCCAGCCAGCCAGCCATGCTGTCCCTCAGGATGCTACAAGCTGCAAGGAGCTCACAGGCATTCTCATTTCCCTGTTTCCATTTTTAAGCAGACTTGTTCTGTGTTTGTCCAGAGGGCACAGCTAGAAACAAGGGGTGGAAATTGTAGGGTAGCCAATTTCAGATGAACACCAGGAGACTAGTGCAAGACAGTGAAATGAATGCTTTTCTAATATTGCAGAACATGGCCAGATCCCCAAACGCAAGAAACTCCTGCAGATCTCTTATAACTATGCCAGTTATTCCCCAGATGGGTGCTAGATCATTCCAATGTGCTGTGAGAGAACTGTATGGATGCACTTCTGAGGTGATGTGGTGAAATCCCAAGTCAGTTTTACTAGCCGAGTTCTCCCTCAAAAACATGTCTAAATCCTATCTATAGAGAAATTAGTCAATAAATTACAAGGACTACACATCAATTAGCTCAATCTTCACCAAGCACATCATTTCGTTACTAAAACATCAGTAAAGGGATCTGTACACAGAGACTTAACTAGTTTTGAGTACTTACTTTTAGAATACAAACACCGTACAAAAGGCTTAGTTTCAAAGATTTAATCTTTATTGAATGATAAAACAACAAACTCTCTTCATTAAAGGGAGCATGGGGAAAGACATAGAACAAGTAGTTTCAGATAATGAGGCAAATATCTGGAACAGACAGCTAGTAAAATCCACTTCTGTGATGGCCAGAGAATGTTCTTTGAAATGGATTCATCACCCTTGAATTTAGCACACTGGCCCTAAAGGATACAATTCTTGGAAGGGATGTGAGACTCGAGGGTCTTATGTACACTCGTAGTTGGAGAAGGCTAGACTATTAATATAGTTCTGGCTTAGATATTTTATATGGTTTGGGGTAGTATTCCTAATGTATCAACTCCACTTCAGGAATAAAACTAGGGTACTCAGAACTTCAAAACCGGGACAAGAAGAATTTTAGAACCATCTCTGAGAGCCAGTGTCTGTATCTGGATGGAGAGGTGTACTCAAAACTTCTGCAAATGCATGACCCCTCAGGCTTTGAGTGAGTACCCAATGTGTCCAAAGATATGCATGTTTGAGAAATTCAAGAGTTGTGATTCCTATGTACAATGAGCTGATCTTCTCAGACTGATGTGCGGATCAGAACTTAACAATCCACCACATGTATTTTGCCAAATGTTGTGGTACACTTCTCAACATTTTAAATGTATCAGCATATACATATAAACACATATGGGGGGGGAAGACAAGTGAAAGAAGTTCACATTTTAATAATAACTTGTGAGAAAATAAATGTATATACATATATGAGAGAAAATAAATGTATATATTTGAGAGTAAATATATGTATTCGCTCCCACATGAGGCAGTGATATCCACCAACTCAAATGTATTTAAAAGAGGATTTCAGTTGCTGGAAATGCAGCTGGGCAGAGTTCTATTGCCCTCATGTCCTATTTACCAGCTTCCCACAGACATCTGGTTGGCCACTTTGAAAACAGGATGCTCAACTAGACTGGCCACTGACCTGATCCAGCAGGCTCTTGTTATGTCGTCATATCCTTAATAACAATTCATTTCTCTGACAGCTGGTCCATATGAAGGGGAAGGCCATAGCTCAGTGAGAGAACATTTTTACATGCAGAAGGTCCCAGGTTCCATCCCTAAAGGAGCGTCTCCACCCCCATCGTTCTGCCCGGACACTGGGGTCAAGTGCAAGGGCCTTCTGGCAGTTCCCTCACTACAAGAAGCAAAGTTACAGGGAACCAGGCAGAGGGCCTTCTCAGTAGTGGCACCCGCCCTGTGGAACACCCTCCCACCAGATGGCAAAGGAAAAAACAACTACCAGACTTTTAGAAGGCATCTAAAGGCAGCTTTTAATATCTGAAGGACTATTGTATTTTAATATTTTGTTGGAAGCCGCCCAGAGTGGCTGGAGAAACCCAGCCTGATCGGTGGGGTATAAATATTATCATCATCATCATCCCTGGCACAAGGCCATTCATAGGGGATGGTGGGAATTCTAGTCCAGTAATGTGGAGGGCTAGAAGTTCCCCACCCTGGTACACAGCTTCAGAATGAAAGCACAGAAACAATGATTCAGTAATAACACAAAGTAAAAGAAAGTAACTGTTCTGTTAAACCAGTAATCAAGAATCTGTAAGGAATGGCTTTATCAAGCAAATTTATTGCAAGCAATGAAAAAAATGTGCAATCATACATGAAGCCTTCCTTTAAAATAACACTTTAATACTAATATTAATTGTACAGGTTTCCTATATAATTTTACTCTTGAAGGATGTGCAGGGGGAGACAGGAGCATCATTCACAGCCATGAACTTAAAGACATATTTTGTAGGTATGACTGCAGGAGTCTCACTGCCAACGTAAACATCAATGAATGGCAATTTTGTCACTGACCTCTTTGGGTAAAGGATCAGAATGCAGCTAATTAAAGCTGACAGCATCTCTCAAGGCTTTTGAGCTACTGCAAGGCTCCTTGGGAAATACCTGATTACTTGTGTGAAAAGGGAATTGAAAGATATTTTTCATCTCCTAATATATCATGAGGATTTCTTTCATCATGGTATCATGATCTTTGGGCTCATCCACAAGGTGCTGTAATTTAAAGAATGCCCCATCCTTGACTGCCAGAGAAGAAAAAGAACGGCATTATCAGGACTGCTTAAGCAGGTGCTGGCAAGGCAGTAAACAGTCTGAAGGCATTGGTATTTGACCGATTCTCCTCTGCTGAGAGAGCACTCAGATATTCTTGCACCGTTCACTTGCAATCCAGACCCTGAAAAGGGAGAGAGACCCTTCAGCTGATACTACAAGTGGTGCTCAGGGGAGACCTCAACTGTAGCTGCTTCAATAAATGCCATATGCTGTACAAATGATCACTCTCTTCTCTTTCTCTTCCTGCCAGTCCTTCATGGTTACTTTCAGTGTCCCTTAGTCAGCTGCAAGAAGAAGTTGAGGGCCCAGGAGCTTACACTGCAAAGCCTGAAGGAACTTCATTGCTATATAGCAAGGAGACAGACAGAGAGAGAGAGAGAGAGAGAGAGAGAGAGAGAGAGAGAGAGAGAGATTTGAAGAATATATATAGCTGCCAGGTATGTGCCCCCCTGCCTGTGGTTCAACTAGTGCAGGAAAAATGGGATGTAGGCATAATTGGCTCTCCTACATCCTTTGGAATGGCTGTTGCTACCTGGTAACATCTTCCTCCCTTCCAGCAAGGCAAACACCATCAGCCCCATGTGTACTATACAAACTTCTTCTTTTTTATGCTTTCATGCTGAAATGAAAAAATGACAAGAGGAAAAAATATATAAAACCTGTTGTCATTTCATAAACAATTAAGATTTGAAGATATAAAATATAATGAGAATAACAAAGCTGCAATCCAGAGTGCCGTTATATGTCTTACCATGTTCAAGATTATAGCCTAGAGGTGAGATTTATTTTGCTGATGGCATGCATTAAACTACATTACTGTAGCAGTGCCCTATTAACATATATTACAGTATCTATTTTCTAAAGACACAACTCTTCTTCTACTTTGATTTTATTTATCAGGATTTTAGCATAACCATTCCTGGAAATTAAGAAACAACATTTCGTACAGCTACACGCCTCTCTGGGAGTACTGGACCCTTTTCAGTTTTGTTAGAGCTAATCAGTGAATTGGTGTTTTTCACTTGCACTTTAGCAAGACTCAGGAGGACGCTTCCAGACTGTGACCATTTTGTGAGTGGGTTTAAAAATTTGAGTCATGTGATTAAAGTGGATTTACTGCTCTTGTGAAACAAATCCATGTCTCAATCCCACCACCCAAAAAAATAATTTTTGTGGCAAAGAAAGGCGATAGGGAAATGCACTAGAAAAATGTGAAATGATCATTGTTTCATGTGATGCCATACCACTTTCCCACAAACAAATTAGAATGAATACTCAATGAGAGACCAACATTTTCTATCCTCCCCACAAACTTTGTGTAAACAAATCAAGATGAAGGCTGAAAAAAATAAGTAATTTGGAAACAACTTGAAACTAAGGAGAGGATTCAATAGCATTTGCACCTCTACAATTCCATTAAAACTTGTGGGACTGTGCCATCACAATGATCAGTGCTGAGTAAGGAAACAACCAATTCCTTTCACATAAAAAGGTTAAAACTATCAGATTATGCAATGGAAGCTCTCCTGGGTCTTTGATGATTTTACTGTGAGTTTGAAGTCTTGGTGCCCCAAAGCATGTAAGGCAAACTCTTCTAAAATTAGATAATTGTTCATTGATGTGCCAGTCATTTTGCTGCCTGTTCAATATAAGCTTCCTATGAATATACATTACAGACATATTTTTTTTAGAAATATAGGCTTGTTACCTAAAAATGAACATTATTGTCAGAATTCTCATGTTGTTGATTTCTTGCAGCACCTCAAGACACTATAAGAAGTCCATAACACAGCAATCAATTTCCCTTTTAACAAAGGTATCAAGATCAATATCCATTACTTGATGCTTCAGCTGTAGTTGCAGTCTCTCCCAACAGTGCCCTCATAGTTCCCAAAAACACTTATCACTGTCCTCAATCCTATTGGCATATTTTTTAATTTGATACTTTTGATATTTTACAAGCCAGTGCAATTACAATATCAGATAGCCTTTGCCTATAGATTGAACCATAATAGCAAATTATATTTTACAATCCTAAGGAAGCTGCTGATGAAATGTACCTGTGCCCCTTGAACCTGAAATCATGGGGAAAGCAAAAGCTCACCTTCCATTCAGATTGTAAATTTCTGTCAGTGAAAAGCCTTATGCCCTATAAAGTTGAGCTCCCTCCCACATACAAAATGCCTCGCTCCCACATACAAAAAAATGCTCTCCTACTTAGAATCAGTAAATTTGGAGGTCAGCATTTCAGCATTGTTTGGGGGGGGGGAAGGTTGACAGCTATGTTGATATGCTTTATCAATTAATTTACATGAAAGCATTCTCTTGAGTGATTCATATAGTAAAACATACTATTTATAAATTTATATAATATCTAAACAGGCAAAAAATATGTGTTGTTATCTGAGACATGAATATTCCAAATGGACTTTCCTGCCAGTTAAAATGGTGTTAGGAAGCCTTGCCCTGCATTGCCCCCTGTAAGCTTCTCCTTTACAATCTTCCAGTGGCTGGGTGCATGGCAGCAGCTTGATACGTACACAATACAGACATAACACCTGGGCACAAAATCTATTTATTCCCTGGTGCTCTCTGGGGATGATACACTGAATGAAGAAAAATAACACAGCAGAAGCTTCAATGTGTTTAAGCCTCTGGCTGACACAACGTAATAGAGGAACGAAGGCTTGAGTTGAGGACACTTCATTGATCAAGGACTAACTCTGGCAGCCCACTGTAGGCAGTCACCCAGAAAAAATCCCTAAAACACAAGAAAGATGATGACATTAAACAGGTTGTACTTGTTAACATGCAAAAGAAACTGAAACTCAGAGGAGGACAAGACAATCAGGACATTAAAATGGAGTAGAATATATAGGGAAAAGTTAGAGCTGGGAGGCTAAGGAAAACTGAACTTTTAAAACATCTTATCGTTTTTCATTGTTTCCCAGCTCCATCCCTCTGGAAGGTTGTGGATTGATTCCTGTAAACAAAGCCAGTCTATATTTGTAATATAAGCAGCATAGTTCCTTCCCTGATCAACCCTTTCTCATTAAACTCAGAAGAGTTAACATCAAACTGAACATGTAAATCATATAGTTTATATTAAAATTTTGCTTTGAACATCTAAACCTGAACTGACAATATCTGAGCTGAAATATCTTACTTCCAGCATTTTAAAGAAGAAGAAGAAGAAGAGTTTGGATTTGATATCCCGCCTTTCACTCCCTTTTAAGGAGTCTCAAAGCGGCTAACATTCCCCTTTCCCTTCCTCCCCCACAACAAACACTCTGTGAGGTGAGTGGGGCTGAGAGACTTCAAGGAAGCGTGACTGGCCCAAGGTCACCCAGCAGCTGCAAGTGGAGGAGTGGAGACGCGAACCCGGTTCCCCAGATTAGCAGACTACCGCTCTTAACCACTACACCACACTGGCACTTAAAAGTTAGTGTACAGGTAAAGGTATCATCTCATTAGCTTTCATCTTATTATTCATTTATTTAGAGGATTTGCACTCACACTTGAGCGTAAAAATTCCCAGAGCATCTTACATAAAATAAATTAAAACAAGGCTTTCTCTGCTTGCAGCTACAATAATCTTCATTATTACACTTTTTATTCTGCTGTTTTTCTAAGGAGCTCAAACTGGTGTTCACAATTGATTGGCACCAACAGCGTACTTTCAAAGGGGATACTCATGCACCCACCAGCTGACTGGTGCCAAGAGGAGACAGTGTGAAATTGTTAACTGATGTCATAATGACATTATGTGAATGACAGGTAAGTGGTCCTGCCCATGTGACAATGTTGACCCAATGGTGGTAGGGAAGCTAAGGGTTTGGTCTCACTCTTGTTGTTAAACATCCTTTCCATTGGTTGATGTCTGGGGCTACTGGGCCTAGGCTGCTCCTAGGCAGCTACTGTGATTCATCCTGTCAGTACTAAATTTGGCTCCATAACAGCTGGCTCTGCAGGGGGCTGCCCCAGGAGGCCAAGGAGCATGCCCACCCATGGAACAAGCACACATGGAAGGGTTGTCTCTTGCTTGTTAGCCTGGCAGGAAGAGTATTGCCCAACTACTAACCTTCCCCATAAGGTTCCAAGGTAGGTTACAACAATATATTCAGGTCCAAACCGGGGGAGGGGGAGGGAGAGGAAATGGTGGACATTAAACAAAAGTGATGGGTTCCACAAAACAAAATACCTGAATGGTCAAAGGCCAGGGTAAATTATTACTCTTGTTGTTGCTGTTTGTTTATTACATCTCTATTCTGCCCTTCATCTGAAAATCACAGAGTGGTTCACAATATAAAAATACAAAATGAAAATTCAGAATACATAATAAAGCAAAACAAATAAATAACCCCCTCCCACAGAAACATTTAAAAGGCCATAGAACAGGCATAGGCAAACTCTGGCCCTCCAGATGTTTTGAGACTACCATTCCCATCATCCCTGACCACTGGTCCTGTTAGCTAGGGATGGGAATTGTAGTTCCAAAACATCTGGAGGGCCGGAGTTTGCCTATGCCTGCCATAGAATATTAATCAGCCCAATGCCTGGTTAAAGAGAAACGTTTTCACCTAGTGCCTAAAGATATGTAATGAAAATGCCAGGTAAGCTCCCTTTGGGAGAACATTCCACAAGCGGGGAGCCAACACAGAAAAGGCCACTTCTTTTGCTGCCACCCTCTGGACCTCTTGTGGAGGAGGCACCCAAAGAAAGGCCTCAGATGATTATTGCAGGGTGTGGGTTGGTGTGTCTTCTGATAACCATCAGAGAGAGAATGGGCTTATAAAGGATGAGACTGGGCCAGAAAAGGGAAGAAAAAGATGGAAACTAGGGAGCTATCTTCCCTCCCCCACAAAGAGAAAGAGGTATTGGGACAATGGAGATCTCTGCCTCTCCTCTCAGAATTGGTCCCCTCCAACCAAGATCAACACTCCCTCAAAACCTCACTGAAAGGGGTTTTGCTCCTATATCTGAGACACTAGCAGTGCTGCTTCTCGTACACTTCTTTCATTTTTAGAAGTCCACATTTTTAGAACCTACAGATTTAAATATAAAAACTCTTATTCTCAATTCACCACATACTAAGCTGCTTTATGAAAGGATGAACTCTGTCCATGACTAAACAACCCAATATTTTAATCATACTGAAAAAACTTAAAATATTTTATTGCTGAGAAGAGGGTGATTTTAAAAATTATTTTATTGATTTGTATGATGTTGGTGGGTTATTGTCATTGTCTTGTTGGGCTGTGTATGTGATAAAGGGGAGCCATACCGGGGTAAAGGCGTCTTCTTCTGTTTGTCCCCATGTCAGTTTCAGTTTATTGGTTAATTTTTCTAGTAAGGCTGTTTCCCATACTATTTGGTACCATTGATCCATGCTTACTCCTGACAGGTCTCTCCAGTGTCTGGTTATGGTGTTTCTGGCTGCTGAAAGTAGATGGGTTATGAGTTCTGACATAAAACCCTACATACATTAAGCAAAATAGAAACATCACCACCCCACCCCAACCCCACCCATCTTCCCCTCCTCCACCCCTTTCCCCCCCAGTAATGTCTCAACAAATGAAACTGATCTGTAAAAATGTTACATGGAAAAAATACGAGAGACATTACACATACTTCTGTAAGACAAAATCTTAAATAAATAAATATTTTATTTATTGGGAAGTTAAAATATTCTATATAGAGCTATTAGTGGGTACAAAGCACATACCCCATCTGACAATGCAGAATTATTGTTAGGTGGGTTATTCATTTCTTCACAGGAAAGCAGAAATGATGAACACGTTTATTCTCTTCCTTTATATAAAAGAAACCTAACAAAAATGATGCGCTCAGCTCACTAAAACATTCATAGCAATGAACAAATGAATCGATAGCAAATATTAAAAGTTTTATCCCTATGAATTTGTTATAGCAATTTATTGAATGTTTGACAGCTCCATAGTTGAAGTCACACATATTTTATTTAAATAATAAATAATGGCTGTCAGTGCATCTTGTGTAAGGAAAGAGAGAGTAGCTTGAGAAACGTTATACCTTTCCTTTTCCTTCACCTCTACTTGAAAATCTAACCCACCAAACCAATAACACAAAGGGAGCACTGAAAATTAACCTTTGTTTCCAATACATTAATTGCTGCATTAAGGCAACTCTCCAATCCTAAACACATTTACTTGTAAGTGAGGTCCATTGATTTGAGCAAAATTTACTTCTGAGTATAAGTAATTTAAGTATTCCAACTTGACTAGCGTATGAATAAATCAGGAAACCTGCTGAGCAAATTTCTGAGCAAAAGTGCTAAAGGCAACATGAGTGGGAGGAACAATAGATGAAAGTGTTCTTGACAGAATGAGTATTATACAGAACAGAAAAAGGGAAGTGAATTAAATTGTGCTGGGCACAGTCCAACTAACCAAGGTTAAGCACTGCTAACAATGGGTTAAGTCCCATTGATTTTAGTGGAAGAGACTTAAGTGTGTGCCACACGCAAAAGCTCCATAAGCCTCATTGCCCCCATGTGCCAAGAATGAAGACTTGAGATAGGAACTGGGTGTAGAATAGAGGGGTAATCATTCAGTAGCAGGGCACTTGTTTTGCTTGCTGAAGACCACAGATTCAATCTCTCTAATTGAAAGGATCACAAAGCAGACACACAGGTCTGTACTGTACTGCCACAAAGGTCAGAGCCACAGCATAGATGTAATGCGCATTTAAAGCATGACACTTCCCCACAAAGAATCAAGGGAACTGCAGTTTAAGGGTGCTGGGAGTTGTAGCTCTGTGAGGGGTAAACTAGAGTTTTCTTTGGGGGAAATCGTGCTTGAAATGTGCACTGAATGTGCTTTAAATGTATGGTGTGGATCTGCTTGCAGAGTGGGCAGTATTGAGCTAGGTGGTCTTATAGTCTAACTTGATACAAGGCAATCGTCCAAACATCTCTTGAGTTTACCACAAATCACCAAGACATCATTGGGACAAGGTTTTCTTTTACTTTTTGAGCAGGAGACCTAGCAGGAGACCTGCAAAAGAGCTCGCGTTCACACTGTATCTGGAAAAGGCTGCTGTCGGAAATGCTGGAGAACTTCTGCTTTGACAGCACTGAGCTAGAGGAATCAATGGCATGAGTTGGTAGGAGGATTATTAATTTACATATCTAATCTACAATGATTCTTAGATGAAGCCAAGCTGCCCAACACACTGCTGATATGCTTGTTACCAATTTATTTATTGTTTTTACTGGGTGTGTTTGACCAGAAGCAGATCCTGGAAGACATCCTGACTTTTATTTCCAGTCATGAACCTTTAAAGATCAGACATTGGTCTTCCTCTGCTGTACTTGACATTCTTCCTGTGCTGTACTTGATAAGGTCATACAAATGTGCCATTTATTTTCTCTCATTGGTTTTCTATGAATAGCTACTTAACATGTAATGAAAAAAAATGTGGAAACTTGAATTTGTCATACTACAAATAAGAAATAGCCAGAGAAAAGCTGATCTGTCATTTGCTTATTGCATGTACTTAATTACTTTAGTGTGAGGTTGGGAGTTGTATACAAGGAACCTGCTGAGTACACACTCTTAAATATCATATTTTGAAGTCCTGCATTGAGTATTTTAAAAACTCTAGTCGCTTATTGAAATGTAGGCTAATTTTATGCATGCATTTGGGGAATGATAAATGATAATGACTTTTGTCCTCCTGCTTCTCATCACTGACATCTGCATCTGGGAAATACCATGCAACAAATAAAAAGCAGAATATATCCAGTCAAAACTATGAGAAACTGTAGCTTTTCACCCCGATAGATTGACATACTTTCATCACTGTACATAGAGTGTTATACTGTATATATTAACTTTAATGAGTTTGAAGCAGTTTTTTCAAACACTGCACATTTGCGTTTTATTAAACAATCCTAAATGAAAATGAAATAGTCTAAACACAATATGGAAATAGAGCTTCATTGTGTAATGTGTACTTATAAAGTGCATGTAAAAAAACCCCACATTATTAATAGTAAGATTATGAAAGATAGCCTTCTCCTCTCTATAAATATTTGAAGGCATAGGAATTGCTAACCACATGGATGTCCTAGCATTAATCTCAGGTGCAGTCAGATATAACTACATTGTCTCAGCAGTGGTAAGGGGAATGTTACTCTCGTTGTGCCAGCAAAATGATCGCCTATCTAGGGGTGTGTGAAAGAACCATAAGAGTCTTGAATGATGACCCAAGGTGAAGGAAGGGCTTTGAGGGGATTTGAGGCTTCTACGAGGAAAGTAGTGCTCTCTACAATGTGAGCATGAGTCGAAGCAGAGGTCCTATAATCAATCTTTATTTCAGCAAAATTCATTCCCACAGAAGGCATAGCCTTGCCTGCAAATTTCATCTAATTGTGCCCTTTTTAAAAAGTTATAAGTATTGCCTTTTTATAAACAAACAAACCTTTTAAAGGTGTCCAGCATAGAAGACCCTACTCTGAAGGGACTAGTACACCAGCACATTCATGCACTTCTGTCAAAAGAGGCGGGGAGGGGTGAGTTATAGCTATTTATAAGTTTTCCTATAGTGAATGTGGAGTGGGTAAACAAAGCTGATGTGATGGACAGGCAACCCATGGAACACCTGAGGCTGAGGCTGTCTGATTGACAAGTGACAAATCTTGAAACTTTTGAATCGTGCGGTAGCGCACAAAGTGTGTTTTATGAATGGCCGAGTTATATCTCATGATGATATCCAGATTGGCGACCAGACCCTATTCCGGGATGACGGCGTTCATCTTTCAGATCGTGGAAACAACATATAGCTGGCTAACATATCCAATAGTCTTAGGGATTGGTTGGAGCTGTGAGGGTATTGGCGGCGAGCCTTTTGGCTCGGGTGGCGGTTAGGCATTGGAATGTGTTGTTGGTGTTTCGGGGGGCAAGGTGTGGCCATCGCCTTCCCCGACAATTTTGGGTATTCTGCTAAAGGAATCCGGTGGTCATGGATCCTGTCCGATGCCCGTGTGGCGGGGGGCCATGGCACGACCCTCGGTGACATCAGGAAGAGAGCCTATAGTTGGATTAGCATCAACAGGCTTCTCCTACTGGTGGTTAACCCCTCCTCAGACTCACCCCTCTATGAGTGGGTGGAGTCTAATGTTCTGTGGTCCAATGCCTAAGCCAATACCTTCTCACATGCTGTAATCAATAAAGTTGTGGCCTTTACCTTACCCATTAACCTTACATTCTGTGTCCATGTGTCTTTATTCCCCAAGCGGGGATTGTGCCTGTGGTACACCCCTTGTCTATGTATCATCTCAGTGGCCTGGTGCAGCTGTAATATTGCCAGTCTCTCCACAAATTACTAGGTTGGCAGCATGCTACAAGCTTCTGTGTTGTTTCTCCCTCCCTGCTCCCTCCCTCATATGAATTCATTTTTCAGCTTGAGAGCTCAATTCCCTTTTGGGGCAAACTTTAGAGTTCCATATAGCCATGTTGGGTGTGGCCAGAGGAAATTTTACCTTTGTACAGCAGACTCTCTATCCTCCACTCAGGCAAGCAAAAAACATTATCAGAGTTCATGGACACATTCCAGCCAGGCAAAAGACTGGAGGAGGTGTGGAGCAAGGCCACTGGGGAGAGAAGCTGTAGCTGGTGGTTGTGGCCTTCTGAAAGTCCTAAGGGTCCACCCCTGATTTATGGTCCAGTGATACTTTTGTATCATTCACTCCTAACCATGGAGTGACAACTTTAAAAAAAGGAGGGGTAGATTTAGAAACCCACTTGAATAGTCTCCTTTCAAACTCTAGAAATCTAGTCAGGGGTATTTTCCCAGTCCCCTGATCAGGAGTGTTCTGTCTGCACTAAATCACTGTATGAATGCCTGTGCTTTCAACTAGATAGACTCAGGTTCTGATATCTCATACTAGCTCCTTCAAATCCTGAGAAAATGCATTTTGTTAAAGCAGAAAAAGCTAAGCAACAAACACGTTGGTTTTTGACGAGCTGCTAGATTAGCCTGTCTGTTAGGATTAGTATATTTCTAGTTGAGTGTCATCTTTCTTCAACGCTGAAAAAAAAGCATTGCATTAAATTTAAAAAAACACAGAAAAAGAAAGGTTTGAAGATTGAAAACATAATGGATATTCTTTATAGTTCTCAGAATATTCTTATTCACTATTTTTTATTTTTCAGAGTATTCTTATTCATTATTTTAAAGACAGTCTTGTCATTAAAACAGTACTAACTATCAAGCAATATTTTCAGAAGCAGTTGGGGTGGGGGAATTTCCTAGGCCTTGTTGCTGGGGAGAATGATAACCTAGTTCTCCCCCTTTCTTGTCCAGTGCCTTGGGACAAGCACAATAGATTCTGAACAATGTTAGTGGAACGATGTGGCTCCCTACTGGAGCTTGTTTTATTACTGTATGAAGTGTGATTGTCTGTAGGCTTCAGTAAAACCTCAAGGAAGTGGTTCTGTACAATAATCCTATTCACAGACTCTCCATTCTTCTCTTTCATTTGCATCTGAATGTTCTGATCTTTATACTTTGCCATGCATCAGTATTCAGTGGATTAGATCATTTTGCCTATAGAAGGGTAACCTCAGTACAAGGTGAGGGGAAAAAAATATTATTTTAAAAAAAGAAAGCCAACCACCTTGTTTCAAATTTAAAGAAATTACATTTTTTTGCTCACAATCTCTTCTCTAGTCTTTGGAGCCACATCTTCAGTTATTTGTTCATTATATGTGGGATTCCAATTCATAGATTTTAGGATACATGACTGATTTCCTCAACCCTTTGGTTTTGTTCTGTTACACTCAACTGACAATGTGGGGAATCTCATGGGACAGGCAGGAGCCTCCCAATTGGGCCACCATCTGCACTCTGAAGTTGACTCCGAAGCCTACAAAGCCCACACAGGTCTGTTGCTGCTATATTGACTTCATGCATTTGGACTAAGGAGATTCAGAATAATGAAATACTGTTCTTAATCCCAAGATGTATTAAGTCCCAGACAAAACAAGTCCACTTTCAACATGCTGATAGAATTGACTAGCTAAAGGCAAATATGTATACAGTGGTACCTCAGATTACATACGCTTCAGATTACGGTACATATGCTTCAGGTTACAGACTCCGCTAACCCAGAAATAGTACCTAGGGTTAAGAACTTTGCTTCAGGATGAGAACAGAAATCGTGCTCCGGCGGCCCTGCAACAGTGGGAGGCCCCATTAGCTAAAGTGGTGCTTCAGGTTAAGAACAGTTTCAGGTTAAGAACGGACCTCCAGAACAAATTAAGTACTTAACCCGAGGTACCACTGTACACCACGGACATCAACAGAGCTTCGTTCACTTAATTGCACCTTCTATCTTTTTATTCCATTAAAGTTGCTCAAATTTGTTATTTTATTTACAGTGTTCAGCGCAATTCAACATTTGTACCATCAATTATATAGTAAAAAAAGGACTTACATCTCTTCTTAAAGAGCTCGAATTGTCAAGCTCGTTCTCTTTGCCTGCTTTCAAAATTCCCCAGGTGATGTATGACTTGATAAGAGCAATGTACAAGAGCTTGTAGGATGCAAGCAATCCAGCTTCATATTTAGCTTCTATATTAAATAATGGAGCACTGATTGGTCCCTGGAGTAATTTACACCCATGGATTAAGTGTCAAGATTGAAAAATTGGACTTTAAATCATCTCACAGCTATAGTGAGAAGGTTTAAGCTATAGCTCAGTCACTGCTCTCTTGAACACTATATTTAGTCACTCTGCATGGATTCAATAAACTCAGCCTGGGAATTGATGTGTAAATGATCTTTTTTTTCTCTCATGGGAGTCATTCCAAAATGTAGCAACTTTAATATAAAAGAGTCCTGGAACTCTATTTCTTAAGGGAGATATTTGAGCGCCTCCTAGCCTTAAAGGTGTACTATTAAATAGAACATTACATTGGCTTTTCTGATGGAAGCTGGTATAATATAAATATTATTTGTGGCAAATTCCTTTACTGGGCAAAGGAATAAATTGTTTTAAAGAGTCTCTGTACCATCTGGGTGAAGTTACTCCTAGTCTATAACTAACCCCACCATCTTATACTGAAGAATCATTCATTTGCTGAATGCCAAGGCAATCA